CGCCCCGGGCCCGGCCGGCCGAGCCTCGGCTCACCGCCCCCCGCCCCTCCCCTCTGTGTCTCCTCGCAGCCTCTTCATCCTCTCCAACGAGACCGTCAACATCTGGAGCCACCTGCTCGGCTTCGTCCTCTTCTTCACGCTGGGCATCTACGACCTGACGGCCGTCCTGCCGGCGGCTGGCGCCTCCCGAGAGGACTTCGTCATCTGCTCCGTCTGCCTCTTCTGCTTCCAGGTAGGGGCCGGGTACCCGCCGAGGCTGGGGAGCTTGCTCAGGGGAGCACCTTCGCGGAGAAGGAGGGCGTTAAAGCCCGCTGACGGTGCTTGCAGACCCATTGTGCGAGTAGGAGTGCGGAGCAAGACGGGCTCGGGTCAGAGCTGGGAAAGCACGTTTGAAATTGCATTGCTTTTAAAGGTAACTGACAGGCTCGGTGGTTGAGTCGGTTTTGACCTGTTTAACGTATGGGATAAACCAGGGAGGACTGAGCACAGAGTCTGTGGAAAAACAACTGAATTGTCCAAGGCCGTATTTCACAGTTTCAGCTGGGCGTTGGGGTTCAGCAGTGCCTGATGTGGCTCCCGGACAGCATCAGTTGCTGCTGGAAAGGGTCACCCACCAGACCGTGAGAATCAGCCATGGCCTGCTGCCGGTCGGGAACGGCGGTAGGGCTTGTATTCTGGCTTTTTACCTTCTGCATCCGACGAAATCCATTCTCAACGGCAGACTTCCAGTGTGTCATCATTTGACCGCTGAAGATCCTGTAAAATATGCTGTCACTAACAAAGTGTGAAGAGCCAAAGAGCGCTGTGTATATTCCCTGAAGAGTACGTGATGCCTTTGCGTAGCTAGAAGCAGGGAAAACTCCTTTGCTGGCTTGGAAAGCACGGTTGTTGTGCTCTTCCCTACTCCTGTTGAGGGTTGCAGAGAAACACAAAAGACAGTTCTTGGGAAAAAAATTTGACTCCTGTGTATAGGAGTGTGATTTCTTGTGTGTTCCCTCACTAAAGTAACTTGGGTGCTGGGCAGTAAGGGCGGATTTGGCTTTGGTTTCTGCTTGTGGTAGTTTGGCCAAGCTGAATTCGTTGTCCCACTGTACGCGTGCAGATGTGGCCCTGCTCCCTTGTGTACTGGCTTTTCGCTTGGCCTCAACCGTCTAGGCCGCAACAGCCCAATTTCCTTAGTTGTGCAACTTGGGGTTATCGAGTCTTCCAAGTTTTCTGTTCCTTCTTCAATCTGCCAGAGAAGCTTACGTTAGTTTCTGTTGATTACACCAAGTTGCACTGCAAAACGTGTAGTGGGTCAGTCACATGCTCTACGCTTCAGAGTTTAAGCTTGGTATACTCCCTGTTAATTTTTAAGAGATTAATGCATCCTTGTTTCAACCTTTGTATAGGTCTGTATGCTTTGCTCGGTAGGATATCATCTTTTCTGTTGTCACCGCTCAGAGAAGACCAGCCGACGATGGATGGCATTAGATTACGCGGGAATTTCCATTGGCATCCTGGGCTGCTACGTGTCAGGCGTGTTTTATGCATTTTATTGTAATAACGTAAGTTTGAAGCACTTGTTCATGTAAGGTTTAGTTCCTGCGGTCTCATTGTTGCAGTTTGCACGCCGTAGGAAGGGGGCTCATTGCAGGGTGTCCAAATAGAACGTTAGCCAGGAGACAGAGATGGAAACTGAAACGAGTTCCTTCTGACACCAGCAGAACTTTGCTTACTGAAGCTATAGGCAAATTGAGGTTTTCTTTTCAAGCGGTCAATCACACAAGCCTCAAGAAACTATTGAAATTTATATGAAGGCCGGGTAAACTTTACAGGTCCTGCCTTTGTCAAATGAGGGAGGCTGCTTATGGGATGTGTCCCCGTCACAGGTAATTCAAACATCATTTCCCACTAGGTAGCTTAGACGAGGCAGAAACAAGCTTATTTTCTCTTCATCTAGTAGAGGACAAGTAAAAGTAGTTCCCTTCGAGGCCTAGATGACATCCCTGTCTGCAGTGGATCCAGTGGTCGGGTAGTTGAGCACGTGTGCTTAGGCAGAGGTATATTTAAAATGTTTTGGTGAAGGCACTGCTTGGGATAAATGATGTTCTGCCAGGTGTACCTGAGCCATAGAGTCCCTTCCCCTCACTGTCAGTTGATAAATACGAGTCCATTCACTCACTCAAACCCCATCATTTGTGCTCGCAGCAGTAGCAGGAGAATTGATACATCATTACAGTTAGGAATGGAAGCTTTCTACCCAGAGTTTACTTTTCCACATGATGAGAACACCCACAAACTTGCTTTTGTTTCTTTTTTTCTCAGTACTGGCGTCAGGTATATTTAATCACTGTGCTGGCAATGATCTTGGCAGTATTTTTTGCTCAGATTCATCCCAGTTACCTCACACAACAGTGGCATAGACTGCGCTCCATCATCTTTTGCTCAGTGTCTGGATATGGAATTATTCCCACCATCCACTGGGTTTGGCTCAACGGCGGCATCGGTGCATCTATTGTACAGGTAAAAGAAAAAAAGAAGGAACTAAGATTCCCTTTTGCTTTTTAATTGCCATCTTCCTTCAGACCTCTTACACTTCGGGACACGAGGGGGAAGCAGCAGTAATTAAAATATCTTGAAGCACAGAATTCTTGCAGACGATACGATCCAAATGCAAACACTTAGAAATTTACTGAGAAGCAGTAAAGAGGTTGAGTAGATTAAATCTGCTTTACTGATTTAAAACTGCACCATGAGAAGGAAAACTGGACACCAGTGTGACTGAGCGTACCTGCCTGAGGGACAGAGCAGCCTGTGTAGGTGGACCGCACCCTCATTCACCCCAGGGCGAGGGATAGGAGCGCAGAGCTGAGTCGGCTGCGGAGTGGGAAGCAGTCTGTCAGGCTGCACGAGTGCTCTGGGCTGTCCGCCTCCACGGCCTGGGAGGAGAGAGGGGAACCAGAAGACGCTGATGGGATGATTATTTGCTTCCTCTTCTGTTCCCTGGGTTGGCAACAAAAATCAGTATTTGCCTGCTCAGCCCTCTGTCTCTTACGCAGTCCTCATTTAACGTCACTGTGAAGTTACCGAACTGTTTTCCTGTTCTTGTTTTACCACTTAGAATTATGCTCTGAAAAACAAGCAGCACAGTACAGCTAAAGACAGTAGAGTATGCCCCGAAGTGAAAACCCCAGAAATCATTGCAATTACCCAGGGACCTAATTGTGCTGAAGAAAACGTTTCCTTTTCATAGTAAGCAATAACTGTGCACATTCTTAGACTGGCCCTGCTGGGGGACTGTCACCCGGGGTGATGGTTTAGCCCAGTCCAGAGCTGCTGTTGAATGTGGAAGAGCAACCTTTATGAATATATGTAGTCTTTAGACAGGGCACTTAACACTGGCCTTCTCAAAATCAGATAAACAGTAGTTGTCCCCCCACGCCTTCCCCCATTTAGCTTCTCTTGGTGTAGCAGAATGGTAGGTATGGTACACATTTTGTTTCCGTACTTCAGAAAAATGCTCCACTTCTGGTAACAAAACTTTCTGTTAAGGAAAACAAAAAGCAACTTGTGAATGAGTTGCTTGACTGTTTGCCATCCAGTATGTAGTACTCCTGTGGCTTTGGGTTCTGGTGACTGCAATCCCAACCGGTAAGTGAGATTTTGCACTGAAGTCATCATTCTCACTTATCCTGGCCACTCTGCGTAAGATCAGCGTATTGGAAGACGTCCTTTTACCGACAAATGTCATGTCTGCTGCAGGCTGCAGAGGAACACTTAAGTAGCTTGTGTATTGAAGCAGAGAGGTCGTGATAGAACAAGTTTCTTCCCATTCAGATTTTCCCAAACTTTGGCATTTACTTCCCTGTTGGATTTTGTCCATAGATAACATAGGCAGTGAGATAAGATTCAGTTTTGTCATGCCTTTTTCTTTTTTATCTTTAGGGACTTTTTTTTTTTTCTACTTTTACCTTCTAACAGAATAGGAGAGCTTCCTTTTCTTTTGCAGGAGTTTGCTCCACGTGTAGTTGTCATGTACTTCATCGCTGCTGTAGCTTTTCTCTTCTATATTTCCAAAGTTCCAGAAAGATACTTCCCAGGTAGGAAATTCTCTTCCGGGTGTTTTTTCTGCAGTTAAGCTTCCTGCAGTGTCACAGTCCTTGCTGTGAGTCCTGAACTTCCTGTGAGAGAACAGATTGACCATATTCTGCATGAAGTATTCTCATATGGAGTAAAAAGTTGCATGTATTTCCATCAAAAGAAGGCAGACAACTTCCGATGAAGTTCGTTAAAGAACTTTCACCGCCAACCAGCAAGCGGCGTGTATAGTTGAGCTTTGGAGGAGACTGATTGCTAATTGCATTGCATGAGTTATTGCTGCATTTAACAACTTAACCACTTGCCCTTTTTCTTCCGCACAGGACAGTTGAACTACCTCGGCTCCAGTCACCAAGTATGGCATATCCTTGCAGTGGTGATGCTGTACTGGTGGCATCAATCCACAGTGTACATCATGCAATATCGACACAGCAAGCCCTGTCCTGAGTATAGCGCAGACTTGTGAGTGAAGGTATAGCGGTTTTCATACTCCTGGGAATAGGATATTCTAACAAGTATAGCGTTAAATAAACCTGGTTTTAACTTACGATAAGTTTCAGTCAACCTCCCTAATTAGCTTCCCCAAAGAAAATGCTGATCCGTGTAATACTTGCTTGTAAATAAAAAAGTAGTGATCTTGATGCCAGGCGCTCTGCTCGTCTATACTACTGGATTGCGTGAGGCTCCACGAGACCGCAATCCCCTTGAGCAGAGATTTAGAACAGGCTGGACAGAGGTCTGCCAGATCCCTTTCAGCTCTGTTTCACAATTTTAATAGCCTCAAGCAGTCATCAGTATTTGTTCCTAAGCAGCCTTTTCCTCAGGCTTTTGTCAGGTTTTCAGCCTACTAAGCGCTGATCTGGATTTTTTGGAAATCAGGTAAGAGTTGATAACTTCATGTGCGTAGTAAGTGACTAAACTTGTTTCCCCCCTGTATTTCAGAGGCACTGCGATGAAATGTCTGACTTTGAGGGTTTGGACCTTACCTAATGAGCTGAGCTATGAAATTAAGCACTGAGGCAGTTCCTTTTCTGACTTTTGGACTGTCACCCGCTTGCTGGGACACTCTGTTATTAGGCGTTTTGAAAAAACCAACAGCATTGCCCAGGATCTGACATTCGTTTCCTGTTCTGCAATCAAAACAGGTCTTCCTGCAGTGGGACAAGGGCAAGGTGGGCTGTAACACTCAGCATTCAGATCACAGCACTATTTTTTTTGCTTGGTAAACATGAACAACAGAAGTAATTACCCTTGCTGAGGTAACAGGCCCACATACAAGGTTTATCAGGTTTTGTTCAAGTGCATAATTAAGAAACAGCTCCTGACAGCGTGCTTGTAAAACCGTGCTAACTGTGGGACCTGGTCTTGGATCTAAATCACAGTGGTACGGTGTGTTGCATCCTTCAGAGTCTTTGCCTGAATGACGTGCTTACACTTCAGCATCGGTTCGGTAACGTATGAAACGGAATTCAGTGGACTCTTGTACTTTTCTGGACAAGCTCTTCGTTTTTCTGGAAGATAAGATCACATGTCATCCACCGTAGCTATACCTGCATTTCAGATCTTAAAAATTGCCTCCCTCAATATGGGTAGTGCCATTACTTCAAGAAATTTCTCTTGATCCCCTGGATAATTTGGAATTAGTATTCTAAAATATTTCAGGAGTAGCAGTAAGCCTGTGCGTTCATGTCTGTTACTATCTTGCAATTAGTAGACTTGCTAAGAATTTTAAGTTAATTTGTTTAACAGGATGAAATAACACACCCCGAGTAGTGAACCTGCTGTGGCTTCAAATCACTGAACTTTGGCCTTTTACTGTCTGATTTATTATACTGTACTTGCGGACTTTGTTACTGAAAATTACTTATCTCCATAAGTGAAAAGGTTGCCTTGGGTTTTAGAATCTGTCATGAAACCATCTCTTACAAACTCAACACTGGGGAGACATGAAATAGACAGGTTATGAGGCAGCTGTAGCTCAGCATGATGAAGCTCAATGGGTGCCAGTTTTTCAAACAGGATTGGAATTATTTGGATTGTGGGGTTAGAGTCAACATTTTTCAGTGGTTTCTGTATAGCAGCTGTGCTTGTGTTTACAGTTCAGTTGAGCAGTGGTAGCAAATGCTGCTGTTTCGCACGATCAAGTGTTAGTCAGCATTAGCCATTTGGAAATTACTCTGCTTGCTTTGAGATGTTGTTACGACTTAATCCCAAGCGGTTAAAGTTTGGAACTGGAGCTGTTGAAGGACGTGATGGCATGGGCATGGCTAGCATTAGCAAGCGGGAGACACCCTAACTGTTTCTGCTTTGACTATAGGTAGAAGTCTTCTGTTCTGGGATTATAAACTGTCCTAGCTGACCTCTCTACAACTGCCCTTGTTACCTGCAGCGTGGCCTTCAAAAGGGTCCCAGCATCTTCCCTCTTATTTTGCGATTGTCTGACAACAGCGAGCTTAATACACGGTGATAGGGGCCTTGCCGGATTTCAAACCAGTTGTCTTACACCTGAGGCTACGGAGGAGGCGGCACTGCCTAGCAGTGGGCAAGGAAAGCCTTAGGCAACCGTGCTAAAAGCTGCATAATAGACTAGAAGCCCTTACTGAACTGTCAGCCTCATCAATGCTACGCTATTGCCTCTTTCCTCTCGGGAGGGTTTTCCCTTGATGGGATTTAGCTTACTCAGACAGGGGGAGAGGCTGGCTTGTTGCGGTACCCTCCTCACAGGCAGCAGGCTGCTGTCAGGTCCCCCCAATGCTGCCTCCTCCCGGGGCTAAACACGCCCAGCTCCCTCAGCCTTTCTCGTCAGGGGTGTGCCAAGGAGATGCAGAATAGCGACGGAAACATATTGTCAGGCATCTGAATGCTCATCGGGGATGGAGAAGGCAGGATACTAACTACGGGTATGCTGGAGAGTAATGCCAACTGTTAAGTTCAGTGGGTGGTTTTGGGGTTTGTTTTTTTTTTTCAACTCCAGAAACAAGTAGTGGGAAGAACTGACTTTGCATTTGAGATTCAACTCCCAGACCTTTGAGCCTTTCAGTGTAAACACTGATTTTTTAATTTTTTTTTTAAACTTGACAGCCAAGCAAGTTTCAAGTGCACTAATTACTACTACTGAAGCCTGACAAGGAACCTGCAAGTATAAAAGCTTGTGTCCAGTATTATGTGAACAATAGTATTTGAAGAACCTGTGTTTGTGTATTGAAAGCATACTGACTTTATAGTTTGCTAATGTATTTTTTATGTAAACTCTAACTACAGTAGCAGTTTTCACTGGATAAGGAAACTGACTGCAAAGCTGTTCATTTTTATTACCCTGACAAAAATTTATCAAGCTGCATGATGGTCTTTTATGTACATACTGAACCTTTAAATAAAATTCAGTTCATTGGATGTTTACTTGGAGTAACACCATTCTTGCATCTCACATAGTGAAGTGACAGATGTGAATTGCTTAACCACACAACTTCTGTCACCTCCCCCGGGTTTTAAATGTACAGGGAGACTGTCTCGTTCATTATCAAGGCTCAGCGCGGACGGGCAGGGCAGGGGTTCAGCCTGCAGTATTCCAGTATTGTGTGTAGTATATTCTACGAGCAGTACGTAGTGTTCTACATGCGTTTTTGGAGGAGCATCTCTAGATGAATCTGCTGATGAACTCAGCTTTGCAACCTACCACGTTTAGATCTAGATAGTTTCCAAGCAGGGCCTTGTTCGTAGCTTAAGAGCTCCGGCCATTGCTGTTGCTGTGTCCCAATCAAAGTAAGGAAAGGTTCATCCTGACTCTGCTTCAACTGAAACAACAGTCCTCTTGCCCACCTCAACTTTGTAAACGTGCTTTTGCCCGAACAGAAGTAGTTCAACTGCATGCAAACAGCAGTGGTAAGAAATCAAGTGCTAGTAGTTACACTGCAAAAACAAACCCAAAAACCCTAGTCAGAACATTTTTTTTAACTGTTTTTGTAACCGCAGGGGCTGAAAACAAACCAACCCTCTATCAGAGATGGCACAGGCAGGAAAGCTCTGACCATACGCATACAGCCTGCAGCAGGCAGCTGCACCAGCCAGCAAGGATGACTTTGCGCTCTCCATTACCAGCAGCAGTTCTCATCCCGTCCTGCAGCACACAGCCAGCGCTCGCAGAACATTTATTACCAGTAACCCTCAGAACTGCCCCAAGTCCTCTGCCTCTCACCTTCCGCCAAGCCTTTAAACCACAGGCAGCGTGCAGATTGAAAAGATCTCATTATCCATTAAAAACTGACTCTTTACATCAACGATTTAACAGCCACGGTTTTTCATTTTCGCTTAAGCTGAGGCCTCCAGTTAAGCTGTATTTCCTCGTGGATTTTCTTGTAACTAATTAGACTGAAACGGGCAATAGACAGAAGAAACAACAGCCAGGACATGAGCTACGATTTAGTAAGCGAGTGCTGCTCTATCTTTTCTTGACCATTTTCATGCTTACTTCAGCTTATCTAAGAGTAAAATCAGTACAAGCAGCATCCAAAAAAACTGCTCTGGTAAACAACTGGTAGAAGGGGGTCAAATCACATTAAAATTATCTCTAGAAGATTAGGTGCAGAACTAAGTCCGCGCAGATAGCATTGTGAACTGTACTTAACATTTTGGCTACTGAAAAGGGATCAAGCTTTGGTTACCGCCTAGGAATCAGAATGCGTCCTTTCAGAACTGTTCTGCAGGAAGTGTTTAGACAGTAATGATGAACCTAAGGATTTAAAAATACTACATGATCAACAGGTTTTTAAGAAGTTGGACCAAGAAAGACGATTGGGCAGCAAAGACAAGTAGTTTAAACATCTTTAAGAGAGTGACAGGAGCCTACAGCCACAAAAAGCAAATCAGCAGAAGCAGCACTGCTTATGGCGAGTAAACTAAAGCCTAAATGTGAATACTTAATAATGCAATGTTTAAGGAGATTTGCAAAGTCACTGTTATCACATTTGTTTATTTAACAACTGCAAGTATTTTATGACATACATCAGTTCACAAAAAAGTTAAAGTTCTCTGTTTAGTGGTACACAAAAAAGCTTTAGAAACTTGAAGTCTAACAAGAAATGGAAGTGTAGTTCAGGAAAGTGCACTTAAAAGCTGAATGCCAGCAATTTTAAAATAGTTTTTATGCTCTTTAATAGTAGGTGATGCCTTAGTCACGAATTTAGCTATACACACAATTTCCTTGATTTTCCTTTCGAAATAAGCACTACAGAGAAGTAACACAGCAGCCACTCTTTGCACTTTTTTTTTTTCTTTTCCAGCTTTCACTCATATTCACTCCCTCAAGTCACGTGAAAGCGATTGTGGCTGCTGTGTTACTAAAAACACAGCAACTCCAAGAGAGACATGATGTGTGCGAGCATGTGTATATTTTATATATACTTTTCATATATAAAAATACACGATATAGTATAAAAAAACTCCAGATAAACTCTTATTCTCACAGTAGCAAATATATCAACTTATTTTCACAGTACTTGGTTTTACTAACTGGGACACCCAGAATGATTAAAAGTTACTTCCTCCAAAGCTGGTATTCACGGGTCCCACATTACGCAGGTCAGCCAAAGCAATCGCGCACATCTCAAGGCTGTTTGAGAATCTGCAGAGAAACACAACTATCTTACTTCTCTTTCCATGACCGCAACCATTAAGGGCTTCTTAGTACCTTTTGACAGAATCTCTCTCTCAAGCAGCTGATTCTAAAAGGCCTGTGGTTCAGTCATTCAACATGCTGAAAGAAAAGCTGTAAAAATCAATCGGTATTGTCTGCTGGAAGGGAAGTGTGAGTTCCTTACCACGCCATTATTTTCTTCACAGACAGCATGGTACACGTCTAGTGCAGCAACGTCTTTCCCGTATTTCAGGTAAGGTCATGATACACTCCATGACAGGCACACACATGAGCACGCACACACACCAAATAAAGGCAAAAGGATAATCACGTTCCTCGACAGTACCACATTTTGTCTCTGTTGAATAGTGGATCTTAGCTGAAATTAAACCCCAACTTGGGTTTAGTTGTGTATAAACAATACATACCACGCAAAGTCAGCTTAGCGAGGCATGCTAATCTCTCTTCAGTCACAAGAAAGGATAAAATAATTTTAACTCTAGAAACAAAAGAGTTACATTTATGCAAAAACCTGTTTTGTAACTAGTATACAAAGAACAAGGTTTATTAAGGCCATTAGAAAGCAAATATCATCGGCCATAACTCATATGCAGCCAGAGGCATTGTGCTAGTTTTGGAGTAACTTGGGTGTACAAGTTGCTTTTATCTCATCTCTTAGTTTCTGTGTACAATCTCACTTCAGCTTTCCTGTACTGTAATATAACCACTTATGGACCCTCTGCCAAAAACCAAACCAACCCACCACACAAGGAAAACCCGTAGCGCTCCTCAGCCTTAAATCTCAGGGTTAACAGACAAAAGCCAAACATGCTTCCTGCTATTCTTAATGTACCCGAATATTTAGGCCCACACTAAGTCTGCCGATGCACGGCCTTTTCCCTGTGTGTCCAACAGCAAACCGCCTCTCCTTTCAGGCAGGGGAGCAAAGCTCCAGTCCCATGCGCGATGTTAACCCTTTTTTCTGGCACCAAACGGCCGAGCAAGCCCTGAAGTTGCTTTTCCACCAGGGAAAGCAGCAGCCGCGTGGCTTTGGCGAGGACTAGCCGCGTTTAAGAGCGTGGGTCAGTCGCCTGTTGTTTTACTCTCATTTTGTTTCCACCCACCTGCCCCATTTGTCATAGCATTCTGTGCCAACAGCTCTTCAGGCAGGTAAGTTAACAGTTCAGAAGCAAACTGTAGGAAGGCAGATCATAAGCACGTGCAGAGGGGAAAAAAGAAACCCAACAGTTAACCTGAGTATCAGAAAATGCTACAAAACTTGGCGTGCGCTTCTTACAGCCTTTGGCACAAAAACCCCAGGTGAGAACAGTAGTAATAAAGCCTAAGAAACTCCTGTGCAAATAGAGTTGAAACATTTCTACTCATAACCTCCTAAGAGCTTAATTTCTAAGCCTGAAAAGGCATACTTAACCAAGCACAGCTGTAATATTTCACTTTCACCCTGTGAGAAAAAAGAAAACGAGGAAGATAAAGGTAATGAAGGTATACAGATACGTATAAGCTACTTTCAAATTCCAGGACTAAAGGAAGCCATCTCACATATATCCAAGGGAGCATTTTATCAAACCAACCCCCAAAGGAGTCACGTGACTTGTATTTAACAAGTTGTTTTCAACAAATATTGTAAGGGATCCACCCCCCACCCTCACAGATCTCAGGACAGCTGTATAACCTGCAGGAAACTTTGAACAAAAATGCAGAAGCCTAAATATTTCACTTTACCTCCCGTGAAAGGGGGGGACACACAACCACGAATGCTTATGTTCTCCATGTATAAACATCCGATTATCTACTCATCCGCATTCAGTAGAACAGGATATAAAGTCGAGACAAGCAGAGGAACTACCTCCTTCCGCTTCCTCTTTAGGACCGCCACAGAGAAAAGGCAGATAAATTGGACCGTCCCGAGTCGTACTCGCTCTGCAGACGGCGTACGTGGCTTGGCACAAGTTGCAAGGCAGCAGAGAAGCCGTCCCGCCTACACACAGCACATACTTCTACAACACGGTAACGAAATCTTGTCCTCGATGAGTCTGGTCACATCACTTTCCCATCACCTACTGGCACCACTTGCTCCCAAGCTTTTAGCCACGTCTCGTGCACCTAATGTCTCAGAGGTACTGCGCAGCAGGACAGGAGTCCTGCCTGTAAGGCTTCGTGGTGTGAAGTGCAGTTTACTGGTACAGTAGGCATCAGCTTCTGCAAGCTATCTGCTGCTTACTGCTTCCGTTCTGAAACAAATCCAGGTTCAGAGAAGTTTCTTCAAAGCTCAGTGCATTTAGGAAAACTTTCTTATAAAATACACTTAAGTACAATAATAGATTCATGACAACTTAAAAGAACATTAGGTTACACTCATTTCATAAAATTATTATTGTTTTAAAAAACAACAGGTTTGAAACAATACACGTCTTCTTTGCAATAAAAATCCGAGAGGAAAAGAAAAGGTATTTTCAGACACAAATCCCAATTTGTAATCAAATAAATCTGATGGTTGCATCTCTCAGTCAGCTGTACAAGCCATCTGAAATACTCCGTATGCGCCAGACGATTTCCTCACGTAAACCAGCCTCTCTTCCCAGCGTACTGAGTAGTCTTCAAAGTGCTGCAAACACTGGCTGCATCCCTGCTGGTTTACTCCCCTACATTCAGGCTTTTTGTCTCGCAAACCATTATATTCTCTGTATCTTTAGTTTTAACTCTAAACTTCCAGTTTGCTATTTTACATTAATGGCACTTACTGTTA